GTATTGTCGAGCCTTTCAATGGTACTAGCCTAGATTTTCCACAAAGTAACACACAGTGTATTTGTCCAGATGAATTCAACATCCTGAGATAAGACACAGCGCCATATGATTTTTCAGACGCATCCGAAAAATGATGAATTGAGTTTCTACAACTTCACCGTAATCCACGGGTACAAAACATCTTGGTACATTAAATTCCTTCAGTTTAGGCAACTCAGAAAGCCATTTTAGCCATTCTTGTTCAACTCCCGGCGGTATTGGGTCATCCCAACTGAACTTCTGTCTGCAAAGCATTTGCATTAGAACCTTCACAGGCTGAAGCACTGGTTGTACCAGGCCCATTGGGTCAAAAATAGAATTCACGACACTTAACATGCCACGTCTATACAAGGTCTCTCTTTAGGATTAACAGAGAAACACAAGATGTCTTCATCAACACTCCAAATCATACCTAGAGCATGTTCAAGAGGTAAAGCGTCAACAGCTAAATTTAAATTTTTCAAATTCTTTGATCTCATATCTTCAGGAATTTCGGCAATAACATTGCGATCATTACTGATCCATTTTAAAACTTCGAATCCGCCTTTTGCGCAGACAGCAGAAATATTTTTCACAAGAGAAACGGCACTTTCGGCATTTGGTCTTGAATCGAAAAAATCATCCACATAGAGTGAATTGTTAATTGCATTTATGACACTTATATCAAAATCATGTTTATTGTCTTCGGCAGCTTGTTTCAATGCATAATTACAGCAACTTGGGCTGCAAACCGTTCCAAATGGATAAGCTGTCATGCGAAATTCTTTCATGGGTTTATTCATGTCGCTGTCTTCCCACCAGAAAAATCTAAGATAATTTCTGTGTTTTTCGGGTACCTTCACTTGTTAGATCTCCAGCGCCGGTAGTGTCTATTTCTTTATTGCTGACACGTTTGCATCTTTTCGTTTGTCAACGTCGCAAACGTCTCAATTCATTACTCGCATTTGATGTGTTTCTTTATTATCTGTAGACCGAGCCGAGAAGGTTTCTGTCTTCTGCAATTTGCGTGTTTACATCGTTATTGTATCGCCTGGCGTTAGAGCCGAAATTATAAATGTGCCCAACTAGTTTGCTGTTGCAATGCGTTACTTCTATGGCGATTTATCATTAGGAAAGCTGTATCATATTAATTATAGTGGGCTAATTATGGTTTCCCTTTGTTTCATGCTTATTTAACTTGCTAATAGTTTAAAATTTGCTGCATTGAACTCTGGATTATTGAACTGCAATTTGTGAATCTGTCCTGCGTTTTGATTGTTTTGTGAACAATTCTTGGTGAGTTTTCTGTATTTCATTTCATTTGGCTTGTTATGTAGTAGTCCTATTTGGATGACATACTGTTGGTATTATATTTATTGCCACAATTAATGCTGTAGGGTTAAGTACTGTTACTGTAGTGCTTATTTGTTCGTGTTTATTTCAGTGTTCTGCAGTTACATAAAAGATTCGATATATTGTTGACCTTGGCTAAAAACAGTCGGTAAGCGATATAATTTGATTGCATGTTGGTTATTTATGCGGCAAATTCATAGTATTTATAGTGTATTTTGTTTTCTTTAGAAAACCTCTCTCTCTCTCTATCTCAACTCAATCTATCTGTATTCGTCATCTGTTTCCGTGATCTATTTGGCTCCATCTGACATCTCGATTTTATAATTTATGCTGAGCAAGTGCTTGATATTTCCACGACATATTACAATTCTCCTGTGTTTGAAGTTGTGTATTGTGGGCTTGTGGACTTCAGCTTGCTTATCTCAGTTATAAGGCAGGGATAATTTGGAGAGGATTGTCTGGACCGAACATAGACTGATATTGCTGTATTGGGATAGACTACTAGAGCGTTTAGACTGGAAAATATTGGCGCACGGTTCAGCGCCCTTCGTCTTTGTGTAGCAAGCAGGGTGCATAAGGTCACACCCCGTCAAGCTTCTACATAAAAAGTTTTCGACTGCCTTTTTGCTGTGCAAAAGTTTTCGACTAGCCTTTTTGCTGGTGCAAAAAGTTTTCGACTGTTGCCTTTTTGCTGATCATAAAAAGTTTTCGACTGGTGCCTTTTTGCTGGGTGCAAAAAGTTTTCGACTCATTCATTGTGTCTTGCAACAAGACGTCGATAATTAATAAGATACTGTTCAAGGTTGAAAGACTTTCATCGTTCAAGCTATAATGGAATCCAAGGCAAAGCAGCAGTTGGACATTTTGCGATCTGCTTTGCAGGAAAAGTATTTGATAGCTGAACGTTTGATGCTTCAACGTGAAAACGCTGAAAAGTTGTCAGTAGTAAGGCTAGAAGTTGATGAAGTGTTCCAGCAGCTAATCTCTTTAATTGACATGATTCCTGAAAGTGCAGGTAAAGAGATTACTGACTTTCCTGTGACTAATGATTTGAAGCGTGAAAAATCGGAATTTGATTCACGCATCTCGGAATGGTTCGAAAAATTGAAAACGCATTCAACTGTGCAACCAGAAAATGTATCGTCAAAGTATGCGGGTAGTATTTGTTCTGACAATACATCGAGAGCTTCCTTCAAGAGAAGATTGCAGTGCAAAGTGAAACGCGATCTAGCAATTGTACAGCTTCGTCACACGGAAGAAAAGCTAGAGGAGGAAGCTTTGAAACGTAAAATGGAGCTTCGTGATGCACAGCGTAAAGTGGAATTGACTGAAGTGGAATTTTTATTGTGGGATACGAAATCAACTGGTGATTCAATAAAAGGTGATGGAGATTTCAATAATTTGAGTCCTATTAATGTGTTGCCAGGTACGAGCAGGGCAAGTGATAAAATGCCTTCGGTGCCATTGGCGAGCCGCAGAGAAGAGACTGCAAGTACTGAGCAAAAACCTTCATCACCCAAATTGGTGAACTCACTTCAGGTTGGTGATAAAATTCCTTCTACAACTGTGCATAAAAATGTAATGCAAGCTGATGTTTCATCATTGAACAGGCGTCGATCTGCTTCGCTACAGAATGAAGCCACACATACTAGAATAAATACTAACCATGATGGCTATGCTGCCTCTGATTCGTGTCATGAACGAGTACGTTTCGCAAGGTCGCATAATGTACACACATATTCTCAGACTCCATTGAGAAGAGATGATAATGCTGTTCCAAATAGAACTGGAAATGGTCAAAGCTATAACTTTCAGCCTGTGAATCGTGCGATAGCTCAGGAGTGTTCATTTGCGGCTGAACCAGATGGAATGGCTGGCCGTGAACACCATCACGTTTTCCGAATAAATGAAAGTAGTGTCAATGAGTTGCCAGATGTGCAGACTCGTGGATATAGGACACTTCAGGAAAATCGTGAGTCGGTTAATGATTATGTTTATGAATCTGGGCCACAACATTATTCACAGCGGAGAACAAGAGAATCATCTCCAGTTATACAGCATCACCATTATCATGGACGTGAAGAATTCTTCTTTCAGAAGCCAAGTTACCTGTGTTCAATGGAGATCCTTTGAAGTATATGTCTTTCATAACAAATTTTGACATCCACCTGGCACCGAAACTAGAAACAAATAGCCAGAAGCTTGTGTGTTTGTTGCAATATTGTGAAGAGAGAATTCGTGCACAATTAGAATACTTCACAAAGAAGCCTGAGAATGGATACAAGCTTGCTAGGCAGAGGCTGTTTGAAGAATATGGTCAGCCTCATATTATCGCTGGTGCATGTGAAAGAGTTCTAAAAGAGTTTCCAAGTGTGCGTGATGACAAGCCAGAGCAGCTATTGCAAATATCACAAGTAATGGAGCGATGCCTGGGAACTCTAGAAGACATTGATGAATTTGCAAATGTAAACACCCTGGACACTATGGGAATGCTGATGGCTAAACTTCCTGAAGATGTTCAGGATGGCTGGCCACATGAAGCCCTCAGAATTCAAAGAAAGACTGGTCGTCAGGCAAAATATTGTCACTTGGTCGATTATGTTTGTAATTGGGCGGATGTGAAAAATTCAATGTATGGGAAAAAGCTTAATGAGATTCGTCACAAAAAGATTCCTGTGAGTGTGAGGAGAAACAGAGCTGCAACCTATAATATTGATGCTGAGGCCAAAAGGGAACACATTGATCAAAAACGGGATTTGGGATGTGTATGTTGTCTCAAACCGCACAATTTGTGGAACTGCCCGGACTTCAAGAGTAAATCGCATGAAGAAAAGGTCAGTCTTTTGAAGGAGCAGAAATTGTGTTTCAAGTGTCTGTCTCATGGTCATCTTGCTCGTAATTGCAAGAAGGCCAGTCAGTGCAAAGTACATGGATGTAAAGGAAATCGACATCACACACTGCTTCATAGATTTATTGAAATTCAGGAGAAATCGAAAAAGCCTGAAGAGGGACCTGCTGTATATTCATTGGCAAAGTCGTCAAAGTGCAATGGGAAAAGTATCGGGCAAGATGTTTATTTATGTGTGGTGCCGGTCAATGTTCGAAATGGTGAAAAGACCGCTCAAACATACGCCTTGCTGGATCCGGCATCTACAGTTACTCTGTGTAGTGAACGTTTGATGGAATATCTCGAAGTAACAGGAAATACTAGAGATATCACATTACGCACAATTGGACAGAGGCCAATACAATACAAGGGTATATCTGGCAGTTTAGTTGTATCGCCGCTAGATGGTGGTGCTGAACATGAAATCACAGATGTGCTCTCGGTTGAAAAAATTCCTGCTAAGCCGAATAAAGCGCCCGATCAAAGGTTCCTAAAATCATGCCGCATCTTCAAGATGTAAGATTGCCTATCTTGGAAGGAGGAACAGTGAATCTTCTGATTGGGCTGACAATGCGGAACTCGTCTGTTTCCAAGATGTTCGAAATGGACCGAGGAAAGCACCTAAGGCAGTGAAGACTGTTCTTGGCTGGTCGCTGTTCGGACCCAGTTTTGAGTCGCCATCAGATATCAGAGAAGTTCATTTTACATCTGATCATTATGTCAATTTCGTCAAGTGTAATGATTTGGAAACACAAAAGGAAATTGAAACTTTGTGGACAACAGATTTTGGCAATGAAACTTCAGTTCTTGATATTCCAAATTCTCGAGAAGATCGAGCAGTGTATGAAATTATGCAAAATTCGGTGAAACATATTGGTGGTCATTTTCAACTTCCTTTGCCATGGAGAACCGGGATGCAGTATCTACCGGATAACAAAGAGATGGCAAAGAAAAGACTTGTAGCCTCAAAAATAGACTGATGAGAGATTCCGATTTGCATAAAAGGTATGTCGAAGTTATTCAAGGATATATCAAGGCAGGATATGCCAAAAGAATTTCATATGCCGAAATTGATACGTCTAATACAGTTTGGTATCTTCCTCATTTTCCTGTCATGAACCAGCATAAGCCGGGAAAGGTTCGTGTAGTTTTTGATGCTGCAGCCAAATATGGAAATGTGTCTCTGAATGATTGCTTAATGTCCGGACCAGATTTGGTATCGTCACTCTGGGTGTAATTTTGAGATTTCGCAGGGGACGAGTGCATTAGTGGCAGATGTGGAAGCAATGTTCCACCAGGTTAGAGTGGCACCTCAGGACACGGATGCACTAAGGTTTTTATGGTGGGATGACGGGGACATTTCAAAGGAACCCGTTCCACATCGTATGCGAGTTCATATATTTGGGGCTGCATCGAGTCCGTCTTGTGCTGCATTTTGTTTGAAACAGACGGCGGTGAAATTTGGAAACGAACACAAACCTAGAATTTCAGAAATTGTTAATGAAGATTTCTATGTCGATGACTGCTTGACAACTGCTGAATCGGTCGATGAAGGCATAGAGATTGTCAAGGAATTGACACAATTGATGTCAAAAGGAGGATTCAACTTGACTAAATGGCTCACCAATAATGATGAATTACTGTCTATGATTCCAGAGAAAAGAGAGCTAAATGTGTTCAAAATCATGTCATTGATGGCAATGTCAAAGAACGAGTTCTTGGTATTCAGTGGAATGTGGCAAATGATGAGTTTGGGTTCAAGGTTAATATTGCTGACAAACCAAATACCAGGAGAGGTATACTTTCAATTGTAGCATCTGTTTTTGACCCACTTGGTATAGCGGCTCCAATAACGCTACTTGCCAAGTTATTGTTGCAAGAACTTTGCAAGCAAAATTTGGGATGGGATCAAGAAATTGCAGATGATGATGCTGTTAAATGGCGAAACTGGCTACATCAACTGCAAAGCTTAGAACAGGTGAAGATACAGCGATGCTATCAGCCATTTGATTTTGGAAAAGTTGTTTCCTATGAACTACATCACTTTGCTGATGGATCAGAATTAGCATATGGAGCTGTTTCATATCTACGAATAATCGATAAAAATGGCCAAATTCATGTGGCATTTTTGGTTGGAAAGGCAAGACTTGCTCCATGTTCTCGTGTAACTATACCCAGACTTGAATTAACAGCTGCAGTTCTCGCTGTAAAGTTGAATCTTGTCCTAAGAAAGAACTGAAGATGAATGAATGCAGTTCAACTTTCTGGACTGATTCCACAGCCGTACTTCAAAGTATAAGAAATTCGAAGAAACGATTCTCCACATTTGTTGCTAATCGTTTAGCAAAAATTGATAGAAATACTGATGTATCACAGTGGCGCCATGTTCCAACGAAGATGAATCCAGCTGATGATGCTTCGCGTGGTCTTAGAGTTGATGCATATTTAAAGTCAGGACGATGGATCAATGGGCCCGAGTTTTTGCGTCTTTCTGAAGACAAGTGGCCAAAGATGCCGGACTGTTTTCCTGATCCACCGTCTGAATTTTGTCCAAAGCCAGTTCCAGAAATAAAGTCGGCATTTGTAATAAAGGAAGAGTCTTCTGTCATGGACAGGTTCATAGGATTCTTTTCTACATTCTACCGTTTGAAGAAAGCAACTTGTTGGCTCATACGATTCAAGAAATATTTGTGTTCTCATAAGAAGTCAATAGACAAGCTTACTGAACTGCCAGCAAGACTGACTGTGCAGGAACTGAGCTATGCTGAAAGAGTTATTATTGAATATGTTCAAAGACAAAGCTTTCGTGAAGAAATGAAATGTATATTAAATGGTAAATTTATCAGTAAAGGTGATTGCTCTCGCCGGATGTTGAAACTTAATCCTGTTCTAGAAGATGGTTTGATGAAAGTAGGAGGACGCTTGGAAAATGCACCAATTATGCATTCATCAAAGCATCCCATCATATTGCCTCATATCACATCTTACGGATCTAGTCATCAGGGATCATCACAACAAAGTTGGTCATTCAGGTATGGGTCATACATGGACCTCATTAAGAGAAAAGTACTGGATTATCAAAGGTGGAGTTGCAGTAAGAAGGGTCATCGGAAATTGTGTTTCTTGTCGAAAGCGAAATGCCCGCCCTGGAAAACAATTTATGGCAGATCTACCTTCCTGTCGACTGAAATCGGATGAACCAGTGTTCAGTCATGTTGGTGTTGATCTATTTGGACATTTTCTTGTTCGACAGGGAAGGAGTGATGTGAAAAGATGGGGTTGTGTGTTCTCGTGTATGACAACTCGTGCTGTTCACATCGAGGTGGTAAATAGTTTGTCTGCTGATTCTTTCATATGTGCACTCCGACGATTTATTGCTCGAAGGGGTCATTGTACTCATATATATTCGGACAATGCTGGTAATTTTGTATTGGCAGAGAAAATACTTGAAAATTCCTTGAAGATATGGAATGATTCTCAAATTCATGGATACTTACGTCAAAAGGGGATAACATGGCATAAATCACCGCCTACAGGTTCAAATCATGGAGGTGCATGGGAACGAATGATTCGGTCAATTCGTCGAATTTTCAATGCTGTTACTCAGGGTCAAACTATGACAGATGAAGTTTTTAGGACCGCCTTGATCGAGTGTGAATCATGCTTGAACAGTCGTCCAATAATTCCTGTAACATTTGACCCACGGGATGAAGAGCCTTTAACGCCGAATCACTTGTTATTACTTCGGTCAAATCAAAATGTGCCTCCTGGAGTTTTTGACAAGAATGATTGCTATGTTAAACGTCGATGGGCACAATCTCAATATCTCGCAAATGAATTTTGGAGAAGATGGATTCGAGAGTATCTGCCTACGATTATTGAGCGACACAAGTGGTTTCAGAAAGAGAGAAATTTCAAGAAAGAAGATGTTGTCCTGGTGGTAGACGATTCTCAACCTCGATCAAGATGGGCAATGGGAAGAATCGTGGATGTGTATCCAGACAAGAAGGGACTGATACGAACAGTGCTTGTTAAAATTCGTAATAGCTTGGTAAAGCGTCCCATCACCAAGCTAGTTCTTGTTGTTGAAGGCACTAAATGACTATTGAGGCTTGGAGATCATGTTGTGTTTTGAAATTTATTTCCTATGTACATAAATTTGTGGGGGGAATGTTAGATCTCCAGCGCCGGTAGTGTCTATTTCTTTATTGCTGACACGTTTGCATCTTTTCGTTTGTCAACGTCGCAAACGTCTCAATTCATTACTCGCATTTGATGTGTTTCTTTATTATCTGTAGACCGAGCCGAGAAGGTTTCTGTCTACTGCAATTTGCGTGTTTACATCGTTATTGTATCGCCTGGCGTTAGAGCCGAAATTATAAATGTGCACAGCTAGTTTGCTGTTGCAATGCGTTACTTCTATGGCGATTTATCGTTAGGAAAGCTGTATCATATTATTATAGTGGGCTAATTATGGTTTTCTTTGTTTCATGCTTATTTAACTTGCTAATAGTTTAAAATTTGCTGCATTGAACTCTGGATTATTGAACTGCAATTTGTGAATCTGTCCTGCGTTTTGATTGTTTTGTGAACAATTCTTGGTGAGTTTTCTGTATTTCATTTCATTTGGCTTGTTATGTAGTAGTCCTATTTGGATGACATACTGTTGGTATTATATTTATTGCCACAATTAATGCTGTAGGGTTAAGTACTGTTACTGTAGTGCTTATTTGTTCGTGTTTATTTCAGTGTTCTGCAGTTACATAAAAGATTCGATATATTGTTGACCTTGGCTAAAAACAGTCGGTAAGCGATATAATTTGATTGCATGTTGGTTATTTATGCGGCAAATTCATAGTATTTATAGTGTATTTTGTTTTCTTTAGAAAACCTCTCTCTCTCTCTATCTCAACTCAATCTATCTGTATTCGTCATCTGTTTCCGTGATCTATTTGGCTCCATCTGACATCTCGATTTTATAATTTATGCTGAGCAAGTGCTTGATATTTCCACGACATATTACAATTCTCCTGTGTTTGAAGTTGTGTATTGTGGGCTTGTGGACTTCAGCTTGCTTATCTCAGTTATAAGGCAGGGATAATTTGGAGAGGATTGTCTGGACCGAACATAGACTGATATTGCTGTATTGGGATAGACTACTAGAGCGTTTAGACTGGAAAATATTGGCGCACGGTTCAGCGCCCTTCGTCTTTGTGTAGCAAGCAGGGTGCATAAGGTCACACCCCGTCAAGCTTCTACATCACTTGTAAAAACATTGAGCGAATATCTCCCTGTACAGCACCACATTTTTGCGAAACCTTGACAGATCACCAACCAAGTTATTGGCCAGGTCCGGCCCCTGTAACAGAACGTCGTTAAGGCAGATTCCTTGAAATTTAGATGAGCAGTCAAATACTACACGAATTTTCTTCTTTTCAGGGTGATAAACGCCATGATGATTATTATACCAAATTTGACCTTCACCTTCAGTAGAATCAGAAACTTCTTCTGCATAGCCCATAGTTAACATATTTTCCACAAAATCTTTATATTCGGAATAAAAATTTGGATCCCTAATAAATCGACGCTTGAGCGATTCGGTTCGCTGTTTCACTTGCAAATATTTTGAAGGTAATTTCGAATTTGGATTTATAAATGGCAAATCAATTTCATAGTGTCCGTCATCTTTCAACTTAATAGATTCGCTCACCCTATCAAGGAACATTTGTTGTCGAGGGGAGATTTCTTCCTTTTCATTATTAGCCGAATCAATGACATCCGTGCACATTTGACACAATGGATGCACTTCATTTTTCACAAAATAATTACATGGATTACCTTGATTGTCATTCTTCCTTAGGGGGACAACTAATCATCCATCCAAGCAACAGTCTTAGATGCAAAATAGTCATGAGGGCCATAGGCAACTTCCAATGGTTTGTGCAATTTAGGATTATCCTTGCCAATCAAAAGACCCACTTCAGATTTAATATTTGGTATAACAACATTCTTAAATTCAATAAATTGATCCACGTCCCTTTGAGAGGGAATATCAGATTGCTCAACACCAATTTATCGTTTGAAAATAATGGCGTCAATGGCACATATTTCAGATTCATCAAAGTCCGAAATTTCAAGACCTTTCACAATGATACTTTGTTTACTTTCAGTTTCATTATTTATTGTACGAACATTCAAATTTATCTTGAGACCATCAACATTTAACTTGTGCATAAGAGACTCACTTATGAATGAGCAAGTGGAACCATTATCAAAAAATGCGTTTGTCACAATAGCATTTTTGTCACCATTAACACGTACTTTAACAGCAATCACATTGAGCAAAACCTTTTCATTTTTAGATGTATTAACAAAAGCATTGAATTTTGGTTTCAGTTTCAGGTGTTTGAGAGCCAAAATTTTTTCAAAACAGGAGATTCATCACCTTTTGTCCCCAGAATGATTAATTTGAATTTTGTCTGGAGGATGAAGAACCGTTGTATGTCTTCTCTTGCATCCTTCAACCTTACAAGGCTTTGTTCGCTTACAGTCTTTGCTCCAGTGACCAGGTTCGAGGCATGAAAAAACAAGCTTTCGGTTCCTGACAAACTCAATTTTATCTTCATAGCTCAATTCACGAAATTTAACACACTGATTCAAAAATGATCTTTATTGCATTTAACACATTTTCGTACAGGCCTATCAACAACTGATGTAGCAAATGTTGATCTATAGGGTTTCAGACCTTTCACAGGGTTCGATTGCTTTGGAGGTGAGTTCGAATCATTAGAAGGCAGATTCGTGTTTTCACGAGTTCGTTTTCGAACATAATTCGCCAAATGTTCAACTGTTAAATTCACCTTCTTTTCATTTAAAACGTCATCAACTACAGACAGCCACCCTGCCCTCCAAGAATGAGGCATTCTCATGGCCATCTTATCAATTGTCATAATAGATACATTATTATATTCAATTCCTATCAATGTATTCAATGTAAATATGTATCAATGTATCTTTATCAGCCAATTTTAAATTAGGACCACAGGAAACTGAATTTTAAATTAGGACCACAGGAAACTGAATTTATACAAGCTTCCCCTATTTGATATTTTCGTCCATATGTTTCATCAAGCAACTGAATTGCTTCATTATAACATTCAGATCCACGATGCTGGCAACCTTTGACCAGTGCATGAGCAGGACCCTTTGTATATTTAAGCAAATACACCATTTTTTCTTTAGGGCTTTGAACTCTACTTCCAATTACAGTGTCAAATATATCCAAAAAATATCTGTACTCCGCAGCATCTCCAGAAAAAGTAGGGGGTTCCGAAGGTGGTAAACCAAACTGAGGTTGGGGTACATAAATTATTTGAGGGTATGACAAAACTTGATTAGGCATAACAGGCATTTGGGTCACACCTGTCAAAGGGACATTATTTGACATAGTCACTACCGGTACAGAACTTGCTTTAGGAGCAGTATAGATTGGAATCTGACTAGCATTTGAAATAGGTGGGGTGAATGGTAAACTCACACTCATTTCAGGTATTCGAGTCACATTGTTCATAGTACACGCACTCACACTCACCCGGGGAGCTACGGTACTATCATTCAGCATATAAGAACAGGTAGTAGCCACTCCTGAACTAACATTCAACCCATTTCTGGGATTCAATGACCCAGTAGTACAAATTATTTGTTCGGGCACATGAGACACATTCTCAACTGCAACATCACCACCCATAGTCACACTAACATTTTGTGGATTGCAAATTTTAATTTCATAGGCAGGAATAACCGACTCACCATTTTCCCCGGCGATTGTCCTCCTTCTACTGACATTGCAATTATTGTTGTTTCATGAACGTCTGATTTTGCAGAACCGTCATTTGTTGTTGAATCATCTTCGTTGTCCTTGACCTTTAGATGAGCATCAGCCGTTGCCATTTTTATTTAACTTCAACCAGGCAACTTTAGAATTAATGTCCAATTTTCCTTTCAGCTTTTGTGCAAACGTCAAAAAACTTATGTAGGCGCCAAATAGGAGTCACTATCTAGCGCCAACACGCGTTTACGGACGGTTGCTCTCTGAATCGTTTCGAGACTCCACAATAAAAATACGCGTACAAATCGCCTTTTGAAATTCTTGTTGTCACGAAAAAGGTACGTTTAAAATGCAGTGTACGAACGATTGAAATTCAATTACAGTTGAAAGTACGAATCAGTATACAGTTGTCAATTTGTACGGTTTTCTAAACAGAAATGGAAAACAGTCTCAAAATATGTCACACAATAAAACTTACCAAATATCTAACTAATTAGCACTTAAAAGCACAATATTTATCAATTTAGAATCACAAATTAATTGAAAAAGCCAAAATACAGCACAATTGTTTACCTTAAAATTGCAGTTTCATATCACTAAATAAAGCATAAAATACGATAAATCAAAGACTTACTTGACGATGTAGCCTTCAACTCAAAGAACAACCAATTATTTGACTGGAAGCTATTATTTTAACTAGCTCTATATTTGATCAGATCTAACAAATAAACACACAAAATATCATGAAATAACTACTTGCAACTGTTTTCCTAGCCTGCTGAGAATAACGAACATCTAAACGCGAATAGAGCTGGGAAAGATTCAAAGGTAACTTTTACTAAATATATGACTTAAAAACCCGGTTCCTGAGACCTCAAACAGCTAAAAATCTAACAAAACTGGAGAGCAGATAATCACTGCCAACATTCCCGCCAGGAAAGCAGCGAGCGAAAGAACGAGCGTTGCCAGAAATAAGCAACAACACAAAGAGAGCTGGCCTAGCAACACAGGACAAATTAGCATAATTCTATGTTCTAATTTGTTAACAGTCTGCAAATCGGGGTAGGTTGTCATCAGAAAAATATCATAAATTACACTAGTACTAAACCCTACTTGAGCAGCATTACATATGCCCAATACAAACCTAGAAATAATTACAAAACAATACTAGAAACATGGCAACATCAATGTGTGAGGTTATGTTGCAATCGCAGAATACGCAAATCACAAAATCAGTCAAGTGTGAAACAAAGGAAAACAAATGCGAGGCGATTTCAACCATAGTCAGTGCTGGTTTAACTATTAATCAAAATAAGCAGGTCTCATGGCTCCATAGGACATCACAGAAACCTCCTTAGGCAATTTTTCAATAGTGCTCCAAGATTTAGCAAAACAAATCGAGTGGTAAGACGACACGGACTTCAATATTAGCCCATTTAAAATAAAGTTCTCGAGTATCCTCTCAAATCAAGCCAATTTCAACATTTTTAGAACAATTTAGAAACAGTAAGCCTAAAATAGGACGGTCAGATATACACGAGATATAGTCAAATTGATGAACTGATCTCCAGTATTAGTATTAGCCTACTTCACTGACAGTCAAACTCAAATTATTTTATGCGTCTTGTCGGCGATATTCATACATCAAACAGGTAAAGTAGCGCACACGCAATTCCCATATGAACAAGGGATGCATCTGTTTCGAATCAACACAGTATGTTTTAAGTAATTTTTCCGAGGTAATTAGCCTCGTCGCGAGCTGTCAGGCGTGACGTTGTTAAATAAGTAAGATTCTGATCCCTTGATTTCCGCCAGTAACGGTAGCTCAGAAAAAGCGTAGAAACCTTGTCAAACATGAGGCCAGGTTTGAAGGTGGGTTCGAACCCCACTGAGTAGGCCAAGTTGTAGAGAAGAACCAGTAAACAAGACGGGTCGATGGAAATATGTGATAGAAAGCCGAGAGAGAGAAGCAGCAGCAAAACAAGATGGAGTAATCTGAGGAGCCGCAAGTCGTCAAGAAGAAAAATTTTCATAGTATGGAGTAGACCGACAGACTGTATTTTGATGTTTTCTGAAAGGAACTGTTCTCCCCGAATCGCCATAATCTTTCCATCGTCTACAAAAGAGACTATCAACTAACTGGTGTTCTGCAAAGAGTATGTGGCGAGAGTGCAAAAGCAATCAGAACAAGTGAATTTGCCGAAATGCGAATCACAATAATAACAACTAAGTGTCGTGTTCTGCGTTGTTGACGAAAGATCGAAACAAAATTGTATTGTATATTGTATAAGGTATTGGCTACTGTATTATACAATTTTGAAATGGTGTCCCTGGGAAACGAGTTTTAGTTTAGGTAATCCGGTACATGCGAGCAATTCAACTCTGTTTGCGTCGTAAAGCCTACCTGAGCGCCATAGTCCTATTAGCAAACTAGCAACTAAAATCCAAAAAACATTTGTTTGTGCGTGAAACTACTAGAAAGGCTATCTTGCAAACCCCTGATTTAGATAGAAATATTTTATAATTATTCTAGAATGTATGAAATTCGATGAGACCGCTTTAAATCATATTATGTACTGCGGACTTTGATCCGGGTACGGACCGACGAAGGAGGAGTCCGGCAATCAAAGTGTGCTCGCTGAATAGGCGCATCCATTTCGTACCCTTATATCCGAGCGCTACTCTCTTGCTTTATATTATAATGGGTTAATAAATCAGAGTTTTCATATCTATCACGACAGAGCTTTATAGAATTTTAATGTTAGAGTTTGAAATGGGTAACGAAGCGCCGTATATCCGAATTAGTATGTATTCGGATCTATATTATTGACTCTCTCCACAACATTTTCTGATACACTGCCAGCTGCCCTGGCTGACACGACAATGGGCGGGGTTGGGACCGCTGACTCAAAAATACTGCTGTACTGAAATAAGTTATTCAGCATATCATAAATAATGTGGGTATTTGGTGAGTGAATACGTGCGGTAGATTACCGGTACAGGTGCCACTTTTCCTGTCTTCATCTTCTACGGAAATAGGCCTACCGGTACCGTACCGTATCTTTTTTATTTAGATTCGGATAGTTTCTGTATTTATTTTCGGGTTCGTTTTATTCTGGGCTGGTACGGTAATGATTAAGGTTTTGTTTGCTCTTCTGATTCCAGGAGTCTATTAACATTTTTTTTTCCTTTATTTTTTTTTATCAATTACGGTACCGGTAACAAATTAATGGGCTCAGTGCGCATCTTCAGATCTTGCTAAGCGACAGAGCGAGGAATACGCTCGCCACCACATCCTGGGTCTAGTATAGTTTAGTACCACAAGTACTTCCAGTGGGCGTAGCATAACGATTTTTGCATATGTTTTTCCTAACCCTCACGTGACTATGCCATCCAAAAATTACATCACTACGACGTCACCATCACGTCATAGGGATTGCCAAAGTATAAATATGATCGCCCGAAATGGCATCTGCGCCGCCGATAAGACTTTGCTAAAGCCAGCTATCTCTCTCCTATCGTGATCGTTGCGACGAGAAAACGAGATAAATTAATAGCTTGTTCGATTTCGGGTTATCGTCTGCGCGTTTTGTACGACCATCCGCATTCTTCGGTGAGCCTTATTACGCCACTGTGACGTCGGAATGACGTAATTTTTCGGTGACGTAGTCAGGTGGGGGCTAGGATTGACCTATGCAAAAATTGTTGAGCCAGGCCAACTAAAAGTGGATGTGGTATTAAACTATACCAGACCCCACATCCTGACATCTCACTGCTGCACTGTCTCAGCATCTCTGATTACCCTGAGTGCGTTCGAATTCCATGCAAGAATGATCATGTGTTATAGAATTCATGGATTGCTGGACTTCCTGCCGCCGTTGGTTGGTTCAAGTAACCTCTGGTCGGTTACGGCTTCCTCCATCATCAAGTCCATGCTGCTGGAAACAAATAGAAAACTAACTAATCTCATTTCCAGATTCCGGACCTGAACTGGTGAATGGACGAGAGGCCGTGGTTCGCCATATGATTAAGCTGTCTGATCGACTTTCCTCTTCCCCGGGGAAAATTGAATCCTATCTCAATTACCCTGAGTGGGTTCGAATTCCATGCAAGGGTGATCATGTGTTAGAGAATTAATTTTCATCGCGGCAGTGGGGCTCAACGGGCTAAGCGTTAGGAATACGCTCACCACTGAACCTCTAATTACTCTGCGTGGGTTCGCAGGTTCGAATGCCATGCAGGGATGGTTATGTGCGAGAGGATTGCTGGACTCCTCGCCGTCGTTGGGTGGTTCACCTAACCGCTGGTCGCTGGTCGGCTTCCTCCACCATCAAGTCCATGCTTCCGAAAACAAACAATATAACTAATCCCATACCCGACTTGGAATGGTAACCGGATGAGAGGCCGTGGTTCACCATATGGATAAGCCTTCTTATCGCTTATAAATATGTAAATCCTATCCTGTCCGAATACAGTAATATACCGGTACGGATATCTTGATATATGGTTGTACTGCTGTAAGATCTTCTTTAATGAATATGGCATCAAAATAAACTTGTATGATATGATTCACATACTTATTCTGTAGGAGAGAAAAGCTGATAAGATGGCTTGATCATATGACAAACGGTGGCCGGAAGCATGTACTTCATCATTAGTTTAGGGATCGAGTCCTTGCTTCGAGCAAAATTGTATACCCAAAGGCAGAAAGATATATTGTTGGGAATCAGTAGTCAGTTTTATAACTGTACCGGTAGTCTCTGGAATTATAATAATATTCAATACAAATTTGTTTTAGGACACATTCGAAAAAATCTGAAATAATCATGTCCTATATTTTAATAAATTACGATTCTAGGAATATTTTTATTAATGAATTATCATTTTGAGTCTCACCATGGGACTGCATATTTCAGTACAGCACGCTTTCCAAATTCCAAGAATGTCCCGTCATTTGGTTCAATGAAACAAACACTCTATGTGTCTCACAAACGAGGGGCGTATGGCACAACGGCAGATGCGTCACATCGCGGCATGTTTGCATCAATAATAATCCAATTTAATCGTGGTCGTCACATGACAAAAATTGTCGTTTTTTGCTAAAATCTCTTGAATGCCACGGTAGAATTTTTTTTCCTTTGAAGATAGGATTATTTTTCCTGAAGAATTCAATAATGACGTTTCTAGATTGCGGTTTTCTTGTAGTTTTTTTGCAATTTCATTTTACTGTATTTTTACCGATATTGAGGGACAACAATCTCCCGAAAGTGTTCATCTGCAATTGGGTTCTCTGAAATGAGACAATGTCTCTCGATCTGTATAGTGTGCTGAACTGTATATAATCTCTAAAAACTGTATGAAATAGAGAATGAATTTACTTTTCTCAGTTGCTGAATGAATTTATTTTCTTAATGTCGAATAGCAGATTGTTGACTTCAAATGTTCTTTGGATCTGTAAAAAATCCAGTTCTTTCAAAAATATTAGCACCATACATCTTGTTAGATATGCTCATACATAGCTGTGTTCAGAGCAAAAGCCATGAATGAGTGCCATATAAAAAGGACATTATTTATATTCGAAACTGTCCAAATGTGTTTTAAATAAGGTAGTAAAATATTTAGTTTGGTTGCTGCAGATAAGTCTCGCTCCAGTGATTTTGGTACTCCTGTAGTATGTGCCCCAGCTTAGGGCATAATTTTATTCCGATTTTCACTGTTTTAGTTCTATTACGAGTTCAGGGACTGTCTGTGTTAGCCAAGTGAATATACGCTCTGCCCATAGGTTTCAGTCCCTTTACGCAACTTAATGTAATGTAGGCGAACCAGATTAGTTACATCCATATTGGTACACACACTTCTGGAATGCCTTGATTTTCACCATGGTCCTCCGAATGTTACTAAAGTGCTCCAGACCAACCCTTTTCTATAACGCTTTTTCACGTCTCTCACTATGAATAAGGCCAGGTTCAAGCATCAACTGGTACAATATGTAAGAAGCAAATACTTCTGACAGAATCCGAATCATTCCATTTGGTATTGCACAATTAATTACATCCTGGGTGTGGGTATGTGCCATCTTGGATCTTGCACACAACTTTCAGTTTAAATTACTATTTTGTGAATGTCAGATTTGATTCAGAGATGTCTATTGTTAATAAGACTAATGCTTTTAACCCATAGGCCATCGTGCACACAAATATTTTAAAATAAATTCCTTTTTCACACAGGTTTTAATTTAGTAAAGTTACTTTTATTTTGACATCATCATGAGGAATAAGCAATATGCGTTTGGATTATGCTTTATGGCTATCGTTACCATCGCTTTATTAGCGGCCAGTATTGGCACCATCGAGTGGGCAATTTTGAAGGTAGTTCCTAACGACAACAACAATGTAACATATTGTGATGTGACAAGAAAAATGGGGTTATTTCGCTTTGAAGATGTTGTAACTTCAACAACGAGTTGCCTCAATTCCGGTCACTTATTGTCAGCGAGTGTTTATGACGAAAATTACCTGATCTTCAATCACGGCCTCTTGCAGGCAGTCATTGCATTTTGTGCTCTCGGAATCATCTGCAATCTCATCACAATGGGTGTAGCATCGTTCAATATCTGTTCGAACCCATATGAGCATTATCTCACACCCATTGCCATGTTGATCTACAATGCTGTCGGACTTGTGTTGTCTCTTGTTGCCGTGATCTTATACACTGTGCTGCTATATGGCGATTTACAGGTAATGACTTCCATTTGGCATCAATAGGTGTATGGATAGGATAGGATTTTACATATTTATCCCGGGGAAGAGGAAAGCCGATAAGACTTGCTCAATCATATGTCGAACCACGGCCTCTTATCAGGTTACCAATCCGTGTCGAGTACGGGAATAGTTAACCAGTTATTTGTTTCAAAAGATTTTGTTATTTTAGAAAAGATTCGAAACAGCCAATTATTGTATTTCTGTCATCCCTGGTTGAATCTATACATGTAGAATGCTGAACCATACCTGGGCCTTGTCTTTACAGATATTATTAACAACAGATATTTATTACAATATGCTATTATTGTATTTTTTTTCCAACTAGAAAATCAGTGTTCACTGATTGCCCGATGAAAAATTTATTTGCCCCTCCTGTGCCAAGCAGTTAAGATCTTACTATAGTTTGGAGCAGGGCTTGGGAGTCTGAGCCTGGAGCCTTAACAACATTTTTGGGGCAAGCTTTCCCTGTTATGTGGAGACAGATTAGCTCCACATCCATCTTATTATTTTTAAAAATTCATTATCTTCTAATACCACCTTTCTAATTAAAAAATCTATCCTTTTCAGCTTATAAACTTTCATGAATCTCAATTTATAATTTAATTTAAAATCTCAAGTTGAATTTATATATTTAAAACAATAAATTTGAAATCTTATCATCTTTTCGCCGGATGAGAACAGAAGGGTCCCAAGTCACATTTTTGGAAAATTGACTTTTTTCAATAGTTTGGGGTTTTGAGCCATGCTCTACAAGGTGGTGGTCTTGAAATCCTGAATTTTTCAATAATAAAAATTTTAGCTGGACCTAGGATTTTAATATTTTGTAGAAGTTAAGAACAGAATGGGCCTAAGTCCAGCTAAAATTTTTATTGAGAAATTTAGGATTCCATGACCACCACCTTGCAGAGCATGGCTCAAAACCCCAAAATATTGAAAAAGATAGTCCTAAGTTTCAATATGATGGGCATGAACATCAGAAATGAAATGTTCGAAACTTGCATCCCTAAAAATTTGTTCAGTGCAACTTAGGCCTAAGTCACCTTGTTTTACCTTGCATCCCATACAAAAAATTTCAGAAGTTGTTGAGAACAGAATGGGCCAAAATCCTTTATGGCAGTGGTCGGCAACCTTTTTTCGGTGACGGACCAGTAAAGCCTGACCAAAATTTTGGCGGACCACCTTGTACAGACGTAATAAGCTGATGAAATAAATTATATGTGTTAGAATAAATAGGTTGATATTAAATTCAGAGAATAAAGGTGATGTTATTCAAGTAATGTGTTTTCTTACGTTCAGCCTACTGCGATTTTGTAGTTGTCATATTTTAAAAACCCGGCTTCACATAGATGTAAAAATACCTGTAAAGCTTTTTTGCAATGCCGGGGTATTCAGTTAGTAGTATTGCCCAAAAGACTGCCGAAGTACCCTATAAATCGCAAAGACTCTTTTCAACTAATTATTGTTTGAGTTGTTAATCAACTAAACATGTTATTAGGATATTGTCCGTCTTTTGTGTCACGTTTCTGCGGACCGGTAGTGACCTTTCCGCGGACCGGCGATGGGCCGCGGCCCGGTGGTTGCCGACCACTGCCTTATGGGGTTAAAAAAAAATCAGGAAGGAATTGAAGCTGAAGTGCCAAAAAATATTGATCACAAAAATATTCTCATCCACATTAAAATAACCAGAGCTCAGGTCTTTACGAAGTGTGAATATCTAGAAATTCAAAAATAAAAAAAATCCAGTGGTTTTTTGCGGTTTTCTCGAAACTCAAAATTGTGATCTAGGCCTGTTCTGTTCTCATCCAGCATTATGTTGGTTCCCGCTTCCATGAAACTGCATTTGGGCAAATTTTTGGCCGCACTTAAAAACCTTGATGGGAATGGAGCCGGAGCTGGAGTCCAGCTCAGAGGTAAAAAAATGAAGCTTCGGGGCTGGAGCCTTACTTCTTTTCTCAATTTTATGTTGCCTCGCAACACCTACACGAAACACCAAAAATTTGGAAAGAAACATTGAAATTTTGTAATCGATTTTTTTCGTCATTTATCACGACATCTTTTCGAGGCTTACAGTTTTAAGCCAGCAATCCATTTTGAAGAATGGTTTCTAAAAAATTTGGCCTATGGTGAAATTAAACAGTGTGCAGTAAATTTGACAATTGACAAATTATGCAGACGGTTAACAATATTGTTGAGAAAAATGACATAATTTCAGACTGTCCGCCTGTTTGTCACTAGTTGGGAGACCCATCTAACAACCCAGAGGTGCCGTAGAATGGCCAAGATCACCATGGCGACTAATTTAGTCCCAATATCGATTCCTCTTTCTTGGAACACTCAGATTTGATAAACACTGGTTTAAAAGGATAAACTTGTTTGTCATTACATGCACACTTTATCACACTCAGAAGATGGTTGGCGTGGAATTTAATTTTAATAGTTATCTGCTTTCTCTTTTCAGGACCCCCTTGTTGCAGAGTACCCTGGTTCCCCAGCTACCGGCAACATTTATCAATCTGTGTACGGAGTTGAAAATTCATATTTTGGATTCTCGTTTTTCCTTGTCGTTGTGGCGATCATCACCCAATTAATTGGAATACTTCTCGCTGCGATGTCCGAGCGTAGCGTCGTTGTCAACTGTTTTAAAAAGAAAGAAGAACCAAACAACAATAAAGGCCAGGATGTTATGATGTTCTAAGAACTCAAATTAGCTGTATTGGATGAATTGAACATTCAGAACCAATTAGAGTTTTTCTGTAGAGTATATTCTTAATTTTAGAAACAATTTATAATGTGTTTGTGATTCTGCGCAATGGGTATCAGATGTTGTGCCCCTAGATCAGGTATATTCAAATTCTAAAACCGTAAATAATTACCAGCTTCCATATGTGTATCAGAACTGAGGATGTACATATAGTTCATTCTAAAATTCTATCTTCCTCGTATCGCTATAGCTTTCTAAAACTGCTAAACGATTTATTTTATTTTGGGTTTCAAGCATTTAAAATTATTAGATTCTTTGAAGTAAATTCTTGAATTTAAAAATAATTTAGGAAATTTCCATTTGAAGTATGTAATTCTGCTCAATAACTTCAGATGTTTGGTTTAAAATATATAAATCATGTTTTGACATAAAATGGTTCAAAATCTGAAATAGACCTGACTTTTAGGGTTCTGTAATTATGACTCCCAATTTTATTGAGAAGTTTGAATTTAGCTAATCCTTTCCAAATTCGAAAATACATCTCCTGTTCTAGTACTTGTAGAAAATGCCAAACTAAGAAGACCTTTGCTTGCACATATGACTGATTCAGCATTCCATGATCTGTTTATCTGCCTTCGTGGTTGAATTTTAGTATTTTTATTTTTCAGCGGTTCTTCAATTTGTACTGACATATGGTTGGCATTTCTTGTTTCTGTTTGCTTATTCCGAGCATTTTCCATCACCAAATTCAATTATGGAGAAATTTTTACTGATCTGTTTGAATTTCTCTATTGGGCATTTAATGTATAAAATATTTTGTGTAAGTAAGTTATTGTTACCATGACAACTCAGTTTTAGAATCCTTGATGTTCCACTTCTTATTTAATTTTCAATTTCTGCGTACCATTCTTCATATTTCCGTTTTTAAAACTTTAGAGAGTATTCCACTATTGGTGCTAATTTTTTAATATTTTATCAAGTGCAAAAGTCTCACTGTAGTTTTTAATCACTGTAGTACAAAAAATCATTACTAATCATTTTCATAATCATGACTCGTTAATTTTTGTCTCTGATAATATTTTATGTACCTATACTTGTTTTAATATATTATTTGACAATGTTGCAATCTGCTGCATGCGGCAACGTTATTAAAAGTAGCTTATTCATTCAGTAAATATATTATGAATTTATCCCAAATCTGATTTAACCCTGGCTGAGCTAATTGCGTTGCGGTAAATCCAGATTAGCATATGTCAAATTTTAAGCTTTTGTGAAAATCACTTTTTTATAATATAAAAATTCATAAACCTGAAAATGACCATCAGGTACTACATAAAATTTGAACTAAAACTCTGTAGCCTATATAGTTTTAAACTCTAGCAGTCCCTGGTCCATAACAACAGAAGATCAAAAAGTTTATTCTAAAAAATGTTACATATGCTACTTTGCTTTTACTGTGGCTTCGGCGATATATATTGTTTGCCACTGGCAATGATACCTGCAAAGTTTCAAAATTTTTATCAAGTGAACAAGTTTCACTGTAGCTTCAATTCTTTATATTCCTATCTTGTTAATCAATGTTTTATTTTGCTATTTATAATGGTCGAACTCTGTGAAATGTTTAGATTAAACTAAATTCAAAATAATGCTTTTCAAAACGGTAAGAATTGAAATAATCAACCTTTATCAATCAAACTTAACATTAAATGATTAAAATTATGTCTCATTTGGAGTATTTGGCATACAATGATTTTCTATTCAATTGAGTATCTGTGGGATTAAATACTTTTCCTTCTTCCAGCTATGCCTTGGTGCCAGTGGAAACATGAAATACAAGGATTTTGTAATAGAATAAAACAGCTTTCGTATGTGATTTTGCCGTCTAATGAGGCGGTGGGAATTTGTTTAATATAATGTAAGATTTGTCATGGGGTGATGGTTTCTCTGTTGAACGGACGAATATAGCGATGATTAACTTTCCAAATAAATTGTATTTTTATTCATTCAAATCCTCTCATGAAATGTAAATAATTATGTGGCAATATTAGAATCACAATATCAGTACGGCCCACAGTTGCGTAATTTACCTACCATTCCTTGATTTTACCTTCATTTCTAAGTTTCTAATTTCATCATTTTAGCGATGTAGTTTTTTTTTTTGCTTAAGTAATTATGTCTGTGTTGTCATCAATAATATTATTCCACTATCTTTCGAATTTGTTATATTATTGAAGTAAATAGCTGATTTTATGGTATAGTTTGGTATATTTCCCATTCTAAAGTTGATTGTTTTTGTGTCAGTGTAATGAAGTTTTTGAATCTTGGGAAAACAATGCGTGATAATCATGATCCTGGTCAGAGACTAATATTATTAGAGTACAATGAGTTAATATTCTGTTTTTGAAATTATTTGGATAAACTTGGTCAGCAAAGTCTCGATATTTTTTTTAAAATTGCTCGATATCATATATTGTTTTAGCCCTCACAAATAGCTTAAATGAAGTAAACATAGTTACTGATTAAAATACAACAAACCTGTTTAAGTTATATAGAGAACTGACTTCATAACAAAATTGAAATTGTGAAGGGACTTTGTGCACACCCTGTATTTCCCTCCTAGAAATTGAATGGATACTGACAGAAAGTTTTGAAATCTCCAGAAAACAACGAACCCATAATCCCAGCTAATGTCATAGTACCCAGGAATTTCTGAACCAAATTGAAAAATATTATTTTATTGGATTTGAAATTTTTTATTAATAATATTGTAAATCTTGGGATTTTAGAGAAAATTCTTTATTAGAAATTTATTTTTAGTAATTATAGCTTACAGCTGAACTGATTTCTATATTTTATTATTTTCCGAGTATTCACTTACAGACAGTCAGACTAACACAAATTTCAGAATCTCCAGTAAATATTGCCATAATTCTAGAATTGTGTCCCATTGTCAGCGATTCCCAAACAAAATTAAATATCATAACAAAGAATTTGAAATTTGTTATATTAAATATAGTATTTTTCCAAAGTTGTGGGCAGAACCAAACGAATTGGTTTATTTTTTTTCAAATCTCAAATTAATTTTTCTCCAGATAGTGACACCTAATCCAATCCCATCACCCTATCCCCAGTCTACACTCTTTGGTAGAATACCATGTCTATTCTCTAGCTGTAAGTTTTTGTCAATATTTTGTGCACTGCTAACCTTTGCATTCCAGACTATTTGATTTAGAATATATTTGATATTTCACATTAGAAATTATTATTTTATTAAGTATGTATTATAATAGCAAGGTATTGGGTCTTAATCATGTCTGATTTAACCAGGGCTGTTGAGTATGGAATGAATTACACTCAACTTCAAGGTCTTAGCCTAGCCAGCATCTCCCAACCTGAAGAAGGGCCACAATCCTAGGAGTACTCTTCCCTTTACAAGAAAGCTCACCATTCTTCATAGTTCCATTGCTCGATAAGTTTATTTCACATTGTGTTTTCACTTTGTTGAGCATGAATTGTTTGAACTTATGGGATTTGGAATCTATCAATCAAAATAGCACTCTAAGTACCAATGTAATAGTAAACATGGCCATGAGTGCTAAATTGCCTTGGAAGGGGGCCACGAGCAATAAAAGATTGGGAACCACTGTATTAGCTTTTAAGGGGGATGTCTGCGACTCTGAGTTGAATGACAAAAATTTTGACTCAAGACCCCAGCAAAAATAAAATTTGGGCAAAATCTTTGGTGAATGCAAGCTTTTTTTAGAATGCTTAGTCATAGCTATTTGAGTGTCAAATGGAAATTTTGATTATCACTACTGTGGTCTAAAATTCTAATTCCCTTCTACGGAGAATACAGAATTTTTGATCTCGAGGGAGGTTTGAAAATTGTCCAAAAATCTAGCGTAATTTTCAAAATTTGATAATGCTAAAAAGTGGAATATGACATTTATTTAGTTTCGTTCATACATAGCACAATTAATGGAAATCTCCACAGTGTATTTTCTAAACTCGAGAATATTTTATTATTGTGCTAAATTCGATATTCTAACGTGTCTGAGTTTGCCTATGTAGTTGATCCAATATGGATTAGCCATTAAACAAATCACCTATCACAAGAAATTAGTTTCACATTTTCAAGAGCAAACACTCAATATTTGCCGATGTAATTAGGCATGTCATGCCAAGTGTGGGGTGTTGATGATTTCATCACATTTTATCTACGGACCAAAATTGGTAGATTTCATAAGCTAGTAAAATATATTAAGGTGTGGTAATGTGACGTTTTCACATTGACATTACAAAAGTGTAAACACATTTGCTCATTGTTTGATCGCCAGTATTTTTAAAGTTTATTCCAAGTATTCAGAGACCGACCCCGACTTGTGGAACCTTTTTTGTTGCAATGCAACTGTATTGGACCACTCAGTGGTAAATTTATAAATTCTCTTGAATAATTAAAGAGTGCGATTGTATGTCTGGGGCAATATATCAGATAAAATAATATTTTGTGACTCCATATGCTACCCAGCGCTGTGGTGTCGGATATCAGATTTTAAGTTGTGATAAGCAAAGACAAAAATTTTTGACTGAAACTCAAAAGTTGGCCAATCATACTGAGTTGAAGTTTCTGCATCAAATTCGATGTGGTGAGAGTACGACTGTTGCTACCATCACATTTATTTTTCTCAAATTCTGATGTCATCTTTCATTTCATGCCCTAATGTAAATCTAGCAAATACTGATGTACGGGGGGACAGAAATGAAACAAAGCTCACAGTATTTTCATGATAACAAATTTGTTATCGAATCAGTTTGTACTTCATTTCAGCTTATTTTGTTGGCAATTATATTTCAATTGTCAGTTCGAAATTTCAAAGATGTATGTATGCTTCAGTGAAATAATTTTATTTCACATATATTGATTTTATATGTATTTCTGTTACGGGCTTCTATCCTTTTCCAGTGTCTCGCCAATCTCATTAGTCTCGCTTGATTTCTCAATAAGTCAGTTTCCATTACTTCTTAGTAGGGAACGTGAGCTTACTTTGAGGAAATTTTCACAAAAAGTTACTCATGACTGATTTTGTAATGTCTGGTACAACAGGGGTTGAAATGAACTCTCAGTTGTTATATATTTATGGCACAAGATTTAAGGTCGGCGGCCTTCAACTGAGCTAAACATTTTTTTATCATAAGATAGGGTTGACATATATATATATATCCTTGTGGGGGTGGATGAGAGGAAAGGCTATAACACTGCTTAATCATATAGCGCAATGATCGGCAACCACCGGGCCGAGGCCCATTGCCGGTCCGCCGAAAGGTTACGACTGGTCCGCAGTAAGGTGACACAAAAACGGACAAGGGCTTAATAACATCTCTACAATCTAACCACTAACTCTTCGACTAAAAACATCACCCAACAAGAAACCAGACAAACACACGCATTAGTTTTGCAAAACGAACATCAGGTAATACCCAGATATAGATACAGAAGGGGCACAGGCATTGTTACCTCCACAACACCGTTTTTTAGGCCGGATTTTCAATATTGACAACTACAAAACGTAATATCGAAGAAGGCTGGATGTAAGAAACGCGTTACGTGTGTCACTGTCGTCTGTCGACCATGTCTCTAAATTGGAAACTGTTAATGGCCAACAAATAAATAGAGATCTCGCATAGCATCATCTTTTTTGAATAATTTGCCAACGTAAATTTTCAAACGCGTGTACTTCTTACATAGGTTTAGTCCATTTGTATGAAGGTGGTCCGCCAAAATTTTGATTAGGATATATACCGGTCCGTCACTTAAAAAAGGTTGCCGACCACTGATATAGCGGGCCCAGCCTTACCAGTCTATGTCGGGTATGAGATTAGTTAGCCAGTTATTTGTTTTGGACTTTGGTGGTTTGGTAGATACAAAATTATTCTCTTTTCGGTAGCATTTATAGAGGTAAGACTCCGGCAATCACTGTCGATTTCTCGCTTTGTTTCAATTTTGTATTAAAATAGTAGCTCCTCCTAAAACTGTTCAATCACGTAGAGGGGTGTGCAAAGTACGTCCCGCGGGCCAAATGAGGCCCGAGGAAAAGTGTCAATTTAGAAGGGTGTGCGGCCTGCGAAACGAGTTTTTAATTTAGTTTGATCTGGTTCCCTTCGCGTTGCTAAGTTTATATCCGAGTCCAATTCATTATATATGCATGACGTTACAATCTAACAGCAAAGAGAACAACGCGATTCACAAAGCTGTCACTTACTGAACAGTGAGCAATTGAAGGGAAGTGCAGTAAAAACGGGCAATTGAAGATTAGGTAATTGGAAAGCATTTTTAAAAAAATTAATATTAAGAGATACAAAATCTGAATGAGTTTTGGTTCCAGCCTATCAGTTGATTTTGTCCAAGTGTAATCCAGAATAAGATTTGACAGCAAATTATTTGGAAATGAATCCTGGCGATTTTTACCGAAAACATTTCAACCAAGATAACTTATACATTTGAAAAAAGTCATGACTTCGAATATGACACTTTTCGGCTCAATATATTTTTTTCTAAAATGGGCGCCATAAAACACCCTGAAAGACGAAGATTTGGAAAATGGATATCGAATTGCTAGCACTTCCATTGAAGGAAATTTGGATAAAAGTAGTCGCCAGCAGCACATTTCTCAATGACCTCGTTCAAATTCGGTGTGACAATCAATTTGAATACAGTTACGGAAATTTATGCGTTTTATTTCATCATTTATGTATGCAAGGACCCCTAATGAAATAAGGTCATAATAACAAAAAGACACTATTTTGTTCCTGCAAATAATAGAAAGCCTATGTTAAATGAAGGTGCGGTCCGCGCTTTTGCCCAGTTATTGATAGCCCGCCTGCAAAAAAAGGTTGTTCACCCCTGGTTTAAACTATGCTTTAATGCAGAGTGTTCCTGGCCCGCATACACATTCCGTGCGAGATAAAATCCTAATCCCGATGCCGAGATTGTTATTTGTTAAAATCAAGGAAATTTCGGAGTTGTACCCATAAACGCCACGGGATGACGTCATGTGAACGGTACGATCACGTGTCGAGAGGCCCTCACCGCAGCCATGATATTTTTATCGGGGTTAGGGAGCTTGTTAGCGATTAAATTAAACAGTCCGCCAAAGCTGCAATGCACGACGCCGTAAAGCGTTTAATAAACTAAAAATTATGGGTCGTTAACAGCAAAACGCTGTTAAATAAATTCCAGAGTTGCGTTTCGCCATTCTTTGCCAGGCATAGTTCGGAGAGTACTTCGTCAATTTCAAACATCTACTACTAGTCCACCATATTTCGTTATTGGACGATAACAATACCCATTAGTCGCTATTGTTTTATAAATAAGATAGCTGACGGGTATTTTCCAGAGATAAACAAATGTAACAGCAGTCTCGTGAATATTGTAAGCCTAGTACACAGTCCCTGATGCCCCGCACAACGCTGCCATACGATTTTAATATGAATTATGGCACAAACATAAATATACACGAAATATAATGAAAACCAAATTGAATTGTGACAGTCCTAAAACATGACATGAATATAAAAAAAAAGACAAACTACTTCGCTAAAATTACTTATTAGCTTAGCCTCACCTATCCTCGTGACTGAAATAACAATCAAAACAAAAACTGACAGCAACACTTCAAGTTGTTGAAAAACTGGTTTATGCCCTGGCGACAAAAATGACTGTAGCGAATGGGCAAAATAATAAGGTTTACTGTGTGCGGCCCTCTGATCTCGTAACCTTGAACCACCCTGCTTTAGGGTATAGGCAGATACTAATAGGATACAAGTAGAGTGTATAATTTTCCAATTTTGCTGGCTGAGTCATAAAGCAGATGAGATAGGGTAATCATATTGCAAACCACGGTCTCTCGTCCAGTTGCCAGTTCATGCCGGGTATGGGATAAGTTGGCCAGGTATTTGTATCGTGGAATATGGGATAAATTGGCCAGTTATTTGCTTCTCGGGTGTATGGACTTCATGGTAGAGGAAATCCTAACCGATCAGCGATTACACGGAACACAGGACGACGGCCAGTAATCCCCTCGTATAATTATCTCTCAACGAATTCAAAATTGTGAACATGCCTTGCATAAACAGAGTGTAAGCGTATTTATAATGCTTGGCATGATGTTCAAACGTACAGAGTACGACTTGGATTTGCTGTAGTTTTATTTTGGTTAGAAATCCTATCATAATGTTCTAATGAGTTTAAATTTAAATTGACAATGAAGGGAGGAACATGGAACAAAAATTTGGATATTACCTATGCGAAAGAGAATTTTTCCTCACGAGAAATTCATACTTTTGCTATTTGCTATTGTTTATGTGACATAGAAGGAACTATATCTGTCCGAAAAGATATATATGCCTGCTAATCTTCGGGAGCGATGGCTTAACTTCTAAAAGGCGGAGTCAAAATTTCCAAATGAAACAAAAATACTGATAACACATCTGCTCTTTCAATATGAGGAAACGGGGATTGCTCTGATCGTCTCGCAGAGATGAATGTCACAAGACAATTTCTTTTAATCATCATTTAATAAATACTTTTTTTTTAATTACAGGTAAAATCACTTAACTCCAGTGTAGATCATAATAGCATAAGTAGACATATATTTTAAATTCATTACGATTTCTTTAAAAATAGAATATTGCCAAATACTAAAATTAACTCTGCGATGTAATTGTTTATTCCATCACGCGTCATCGCTAATCCGATTAAGATCTGAAACCGGTACGACATAATTACGTAATTACATAATATGCTTCTTAAAAATATTCGAATGCGGTAAATTTTTGAGCATAAAAGCGAGGCGATGGAACTATATCAGTATAGTTTGATATCGGTTACATGAATCTGAAAATTTTCAGAGAGAGAAAGAATTTTTGATACTGTCAGTATTCAGACTTACGTGCTGAGAGGTTTTGATTTCGTTTAATTTAGGAAGTGCTGTTATTAGAAATAGTATCAACAGAATCAATAAAATAAAGACAAGGCGGTAGGCGCCCAGGATCTCCGCTGACAGTTGAGGCCCACACTCAAGCAACCGGTTGCCTCTTCACAAACTTGCGGATCTGTAACTACATCGTGAACGGGTTACCGAAACTGCCAGTTCATTTAAGCGCTGCGCGATTAATAGACTTTCTTGCGTGAGTGATAAACTGTGGCTATAAGTTAGAATATTGTTCACTAAAATCACTAAGGCTTGCCCAATTTATGGAGTATCGAGACGAAAGACGACTTGTTCGAAAGAACATTTTTTTCTGTGGAAAATAGCGTTCTTGGAATTTCAATTTTCGACTTGGTTTTATCGAGAAAATACGATGAATTGTAAATAAAATGGGAAATTTCATAACGATAGAAGCGTTTTTTTGTTGTTACCATGGGAACGAACTTCAATCCGGAACTTCTATAAATTGCACATTACTAGTGTGACAGGATAACCCATGTGTGAAATTTCATTAAGATGGGTCTCTAGCCGTTAAGACGCTAGCTAGACCATGGACACACATACAGAACGACCGATAGTAAGGGATAGCGGAGATCCGAGGGTCCTCGATGTCCACGGCGGCCGTAGTTCTCTCACGCAAACGTAATGTGTTAGTTTATTTAAAAAAAGAAAGATTGTACACCCCTGATTACAAAATTGCAATGTAAAGTGGAACGGGGGGTATTAAGTATTTTTTGAAACTTTTCGTGCCCATTTTTCAAGTTTTGCTTTAAACAGACCAACAAAGAAAATACGAAACAATGGGTCAGGCTTGCAGTTCCATTAGACCTGAATCTTTCATGAATTCACTCGAATAGGTAGGTTATCTCGATGCATAAAACGTGCCCAGTATTTAAATAAACTTAAATTACAAATGGTGCGTTTTTACAAAAATCAAGATTAGTGGCCAATCATCATTGAGTTTTGTTGGCGCTCCTGCAGTATGTGAACCAAGATGGCGGACACCAGAACGTAGTATATGTACCAGGTTAGGGTAGGTCATAATTTTATTCCAATTTTTCCTATTTAAGTTCTATTGCGAGTTCGGGGACTAGCCAAGTGACTCCCATAGTATTTGTACCTAAAATTACGACTTAACCCTAACCTGGTACACATACAACGTTCCGGTGTTCGTCATTTTGGTTCCCATTATTCGGGAGTACCGTTTTTATGGCGCTCCGGAGGTGTTCGTACCAAGATAACGTACAACCTGAACAACTCTAACTCGGTACACATACTATGTTCAGGTTGTGCGCCATCTTGGTACGAATATTTCGGGAGCACCGTTTTTTTTATATCAACATAACGAGAACACAAACTTAAACTCGAAAACTTTCGATTCAGGTACTACTAAACTACAGAGTAACATCGATATGAATATATCAATCGTTTTTATTTTAATCTACGTCATCGCCCCAGGCTGGTGTCACGATGAAACAGTGTTTCACTGCCGTCCCAAGCCTGGTTGCAAGATTGCACAATGTGATTCGAACAGAGTGGATGAATATACCAAAGAATACCCGATTACATGCAAGTCCAATAGTACTGTTCCCAACAATTTGAGTAAGTGATTAATTCAGTAATTTAAGTTTCAAGAAATTATGTATTTCATTAAATATTCTCGTTTCGAGGCGTCATATTTACATCGTGCAATCTAATCTGAAAAGTCTTCAATTTTAATCTAGATATCACAAATATCAGAATAGGATTGGAAAAGTTGGAAAACAAGTTTGATGATAAAATCGAGAGGTTTGAGAAAGAAATGTCTGGTTAGTGTACGATGACTCTTAATTTCAATGATGTTTTGTGATTACTGCTCTGTGCTTATCAAGTTTCCGTTTCAACCTAAAAATACATGAACATAGGTCCGGCTGTTTAGCAGAAATCTATCCTTCAAAATAAAAGACCAAAAGCTACATAAAAATGGAAAGATCCAAACGTTATGACAGTTTTCTTGGAGTTTTACTGTTAGATTTAATTTGTATTGAAGAATTAGAAAAAGAAGTTATAACTTGTTATATATATAACTGGCCAGTCCCATCCCAACCAGTCCTATTTGTAATCGTCTATCGTTTTGCATAAAAAAAAAAGTTATTTGCTATTTATGAAAATTTTAATTCAATTTTCTCAATTTGATTTCTCAAAAACTCGAGTGTTATAAATAAATATTTATTGTGACATCGAAAATATCAAAACGTAATAAATAAAACTTGAAGAAAACCTCAATTTGAAAATATAAAATATTGACTGTTTTGGGAGGCAGGGTGAGAATAAGTAATAATTCGGATTAAAACATTCGCCATGCTTTAAAAAAACTAATCGATTTTTTTTTTAAACAGAAAATCGCAAAGCTCGCAAACGAATTGGGAATCAATCTATTAGAATAGACAATCTATCGAGGAAAGCTTCGAAAGAATCAGTTGAGATCAAGGGATTGAAGAAAGGTTGGTGAATATAATACCGTGATGTTTGTTATTCTGCAGCCGCCGTTGTCAAACCAAATAAATTTAAAATATTTGAACTCTACTAATAACTGCACCGTCTGCACGTAATTTTGAAAAATCTCCGTCATTCTCGTAAAAATTGATTTTAAATCATGTATATCTATTGAATAATGAATTTTAATTGCCTTTTTTGCAATAATATTAACAAAACAAGTAGACACAGCCTTCCTCTTTATATTCTTATGTTCAAATCACGTGAGATATTAATGTGCAAAGTCATTCTGTATTTTTTGCCTATTCTCACTGCCAGAAAGTTTTTTGCAATAATATCGATAAGCCTAGTAAACGCATCGCCCTTTTTCCACTAGTTTTTACTTCCCTGTCACGTTCTCAATACTGCAACGAATGTGTATAATGATTCACTGAATATTTTTTAGACTTGGTTGAGGTTAAAGAAATGAATGGCAAGTTGGTAGAAGACAACGATAATATAAAAAAAGGTCAGATTATTCAAGAAATTCTCAATACTGTTATACCTATCTGAACTCTGGTAACTACTATGACAAATATAACTGTTTGTCTGAGAAAGTCAGACGAAGCCAGTCTTTGATCAGACGAACGTTACAGAAATACATTTGTGTTAGCGTGCAGCAAGAATCTTGAATTGCATAGTCTGATGACAAATGTGGCTGTTGCAATTGCTCCTTTAAATTCTATGTAAGGCAAAACTGGTGAATATAATATTCTATACTGAACTACTGAATGTTATTTTAAATGTTATTCTTTCATTAGATTTGATTAAAGTACAAGTCATGAATGATAAGTTGGCAAAAGACAACGAACAGATGAAGAAAGGTAAAATATGTCGATATAATTTTCTTTCTTGAAGTTGTAGTTTGCTGGGTTATGATTTTGGGCTGACGGCACATGTCAGTATTATAATGTATGAAATAGAAGTCATTTTTACAACAACAACAAAAAACTGATTTACAAAATATTTACGGACTTTGGAATATTCCATGGATTTTCCAAAGGACTTTCAGATTTTCCGTGAGTCAGTTTATGACTAGACAAGTACACGTGACCAATTTATTTTCGACTCTAACACTGAAAAATTAAAAACGCCAGATATTTGTAGAGTGAAATACATTGCTATAACTTTGTCGTTTTAGCAAGTGGCAAATGGTTGTTTTCTAACGTTTATATTAATATTTTCAGCAATATCCCGAATTGAACAGAAACTTGTTGTTAAGGATAAGTCTCATCAGGTTCAAGATATATCCAAGCAGGACACCAGACCAACAACAATGACTAGCACAACATTGAAATCAACATCTAAGAATCAAACAACATTGACGTCAACTCCTGCTCCAGGTAAATAATTCGACCAATCCAAGTTTTATAGTTTATGAATTTTTGACGAATAAATTCGCATTACAGCGGTTATAAAATATGATTTTGTTTTCAAAAATTTAAACCAGAAAGAACATGAGCGTTATTCGATAGACTTCATCGCATGACCAAACAGGGCTAATTTGATCTGAATATATTGAGGTAATGTTGAAAGGCCTGGTGGCTCCTGCCTGCAGCTACAATTTACTAAAAATTATTATTTGATCTTATTTCACCTGAAATCAAAAGAGCGATGCGCAATTATTCTGACCAACAGATATGAACCTACGCAAAAGCTGGATGACTTTTTAATATAGATGACGTCATCGCACACAAAAAATAAGTTCTATAAAGCCTACAGAATTTTTAAAAGTAAAAGCCTTCTAACGAAACAATCTTTGATCGCTAAAAATTTCAAAAAATCTGGTTCGCAAAAAGAGAAATGCGGTTGTATTTTTATAACAATAATAAAAATGACAATACTTTTCAGAAAACTGCAAATTGAAGATTGGAGACATCTGTTATTTCGCTGTGATCCTAGGAAAATGGGATGTCGTCTATAACAATGCAGTTGATATTTGTAAGAAACGTAACGCAGATGTTGGTTTGATTCGAGATGAAGAATCGTACAATGCAATTTTGAATTACTCAAGAGAGAATATGCCAGAGGATTGGGTGGGGGTTGGACTATGGATAGGAACCTGGATTGATTCAGTGGTTGGTATTTTATGCCTATGATAAATATTTTCTTGTGTAAAAATATAAAAATGCATTACACGATGAGTAGAGTGTGAGGTCAGACATGGTCAAATACAATTGAAACAACTTTAGTTCTTTAGCAGTAACTGCGCATGACATATTTCAAGTAATTTTTTACATTCACTCAGAAATATTTTTTGGGAACCTATCATGAGCAACCGTGAAATTACTCTTTTTCAACAGAACGATCCATAGGTCCACTCCGTGTCCATAATAGTCGTGCAGTGAATTAGTTTTGACACCCTCGATGTATGTGAGCCAAGATGGCGGACACCGGAATGTAGAATGTGTACTAGGTTAGAGTTAGGTCATAATCTTAGGTACAAATACTACGGGAGTCACTTGGATAGTCCCCAAATTTGGAATAATACTGAAATATTAAAATTATAATAAAATTATGGCCTAACCTTAACCTGGTGCACATACTACGTTCCGGTGTCCGCCATCTTGGTTTACATACTTCAGGAGTGCCTAAATCTTCATCCTGCGCATGGACGTGAAGTTTACTTGATAAAACACGAGAGACTTCAAACACTCACGTTCACATTTGACCAAGCATCGATCAATAATGATGATATCGAATTTTAATTGATTGAAAACGTCATTCATGTTATGGGATCCAATTCGGGATCAAGCATGGTTCCGTAATAAACTCCATCTGTTATATTATTTTCTCAGACTGGTAACGTCACACCGGCAGATTCATACACTGAATGGTACGCGGATCATTATCCATTGACGGGAATTGATTATAAAGATCGCACAAATATTTATCTCGTTGTCAATAAAAAACCAAATGAGGGTTTCCAAGGGATGGTGAATGCTACTCCTACCCGGGAGCGTGATGGAGTTCTTTGTGAGATCCTGATGTAATGAAGCGTCTGCTTGGTTGTATTTTGTCACTCTGGATCTATCATCAATAAAATATAAATCATTGAATTCTAACCTGAAATTTGTACTAATATTCTTTCTAATTATCAATGCAGATTATCACAGCTATTACAGTTTTTTGAAATTGGGTTAACTTTTAAACTGAATTTTACATTATCCAAATAAAATGATTCTTAATTTTCCAGTTCTTCAAAAAACTCAAAGATTTAAATGTTTGATTTTCGTAATTTGATGGATGAAAATAATACAAACACTTTAATTCGAAATAAATTTGGTTTCGCTGTAATATCTTCGTTTTTCCTGAGTTTCTCAGAGGGTCAGGTCGAATGGGCAAAAAGCTGAAAACGTTTTGCAAATTGTTTCAACAATGAATGAATACATAAAAGAGATTAAAACTTGCTCATTGCTCGATGCGTTAAATACGTTTTAAGACAAAAAGTTATTTCGGCTAGAGTCAGGTCGTCTATTTAGGATTCCAAGTTCATTCGAAATGCGTCGCCATTTTACCGCCTGGCTAAAGTTTACCAAGATTTATACTGACCCAAAAACTATAAACCCCGTAACTCAGCTTCATTTTAAATGTCGTTTCATTTATTTAGACGATTAGATATTGCATATCATAGGTGAAAATGATGACAAAATGTTTGCTGTGCAAACAATCACAGTCAAGATTATATGACATTGGTAATTACTCAAAAAATTGAATGAAGCTCTGATGTGCCTACTTTGGGCGTTTTTTTTTTTTTTTTTGAGTTGAGAAGAATAGTCGGATTTTACAGATTGAAATATGGCTGAATATGGGTTGATTTGTATTTTTTCATTCCGATGATCATTAGTTTTTCAATTTCAGTGAAAATCATCAATATTCGACAATATGTTGCGATATAGGTATCGGAAATATCGTGCCCTCTATGACGAGTTTTTTTACTGGGTTTCATAAATTTTCAACTTTTTTAATAATCTGACCAAATGATTCACTTTTTTTCCCATACTCGAGTTTAACTGGTAATCAATCTATATTAGATCAATGTGTACTCAAATGGGCAGTACTGGGGAAATTCCGTCATTCCAAAAACATAGTATATAATTTCGCACTTGTGGCTGCTGTGGCAAATTGTAAAACTGAATTTGACTTTTCTAGTTCATAGTAAGCTAAGTGTTCCATGATAAAGGGCACTCTGGTAGAGACGGACAATATAAAAGATTGAAAATCGTGTCAGAAATCAATTTTCAAAACCACAGCGGTTCAAATTTTTCTGTTCATTTCCAAGTTTTTTCAATGTAAATTGGTCAGAAAGCTGGACTTAACAAGTTTGTATCGCAGGTCACAATACTGGATTCAAATACCACACACCACCTCACTCAAGCTGTGTGAGCCTCTCGAATCAAGTAGCATGACTAGGGCCTGTGAAGCTGTATAGCAAATCACGAGAGGCCGTTATCGAGGAAGGGGGAGTTTGTTAGCGATGAAATTAGAACAGTCCGCCAAAGCTGCAATGCACGACACCGTAAGGCGTTTAATGAACTAAAAATTATGGGTCGTTAACAGCAAAACGCTGTGAAATAAATTCAAGAGTTCCGTCTCGCCATCCTTTGCCAGGAATAGTTCGGAGAGTGCTTCGTCAATTTCGAACATCTACTACTCGTCAACCATATTTCGTTATTGGACGATAATAATACCCATTGGTCGCTATTGTTGCATAAATAAGATACCTGAAGGGTATTTGCCAGAAAGAAACGAATGTAGCAGCAGTCTCGTGAATGTTTTAAAGCCCAGTAACCAAAAACATGCATCCGTTGATGCCCTCCACAACACTGCCATTATTATTATGGATTATGGCACAAACATAAATTTACACAACATATAACGAGAACAAAATTAAATTGTGACAGTCTCGAAACATGACATAATTTTAAAAAAAAGTCAACTTCTACGCAGATAAGCTATCATTATCTATTAGCTTAGCCCGAAGGTGTGCAAACTGCAGCCCGGGGAGAAGTGCCAATTTTAATAGTGTGCCCGCAAAAGGAGTTTTTAGTTTAGTTCATCTGGTATGTGCGAGCAATTCCAATATCTTTGCATTGCAAAGTCTATATATCAGTGGCGGCGCGTGGTCATTTTGACAACCGGGGCAAGCTACTGCGGGACCAAGTCACCCCCATCTACGGGGACAGGATGAGCGCTGTAAGTTCTCCCATCATTTTATGAGTATAAAAACCATTCCATCGGTAACAACCAATCGGCAAAAGCGACAATTTTTAACGATAAGAAAGTGTCTTTAAAACCGGTCCAAGTCAAGGGATTAACAAATATAGACATAGTTTATTTTGAAACCTCTTTCAGAAGGAAAGGCAATATTTACCCAGATAAATACAATGACATACTAACAGAAACTTCGGGAAAGCAGACAAAACCTAAAATAAGGTTTAAAACGTTACTATGAAGAAAGGAAAGTTAATGCAAAGATAAGGACATGCGTCGCTCACTCATAGATATATATGCTGCTAGACTTCTACTGCTTGAACATATATGCAACACGCCGCGATTTCTTGGAAGCAAAATGCTCAATAACGCGCTGATTAAAGTCATGCATCCCAGAAATAACGTCTCTGTGAATGGATAAAACAGCCAAGGAATTTAATCTATCTTGCTTCATTGTGTTTCTGAGATACGTTTTAATACGCTTCAGCGTGCTGAATGTTCGCTCTGCGTCGGCGGAAGAAATAGGCGTCGTCAAAATTATGTCCAGAAATTTTGCAGACGCCGCAAAGGTAGTTACTAGAGTGTTATCTATGAGGAACCCATAGAGCGCGCAAGTTGATGTGATGTTCAAAAAAGTTTGATTGGTGTATATACATCGCAATTCATTTTCCAATTTACCCACATTTACCATGGGGTAAAATTTGGAGACAGTAGCCAACAAATGGATGGGTAATTGACGTGCAAATTTTGAAAATTTTTTGGGGTTCATCAAAGAGAACGCGGCAAGGTGTTCAGTGCGCAGACGATCGCCTATTTGATTCACCAGAATGTCACAGCATTCCTTTGCAGACAAAATCAAACGCTGCGTTGTTTGCCCGCGGCGTAAAGAAGCACTCCATGTGTCGTCGTATTTTATTGTTTCCCGGATACGAGATACAGCATCGCAGAAGTTTGAAATACACGACTGCACAGACGCTCCATCCATTAGCCTTGACTGCAATGCGCCGTATAATACATCCACGTGATAGAATATTGTGGAGAAAAAAGCGAGAAAAAATGAAAACTCACCATCTTCTAGCAGACGCTTTAGACCTGCCGCATCCCTCACAGAGCGTTCGTCCCAAACCGGAGAGCTCTGAATGCCATTGAAACACTCAATGAGCTCAGACCTAATTTCGAACACGCCCTGCACTACGCGTGATTGGAAGTTCCAACGTGTGGGTGCACAAGCTGGGAGACGGCGGCTACATATCTGGCAAAGGAGGTCAGAGCGCTTCGGCGAAACGGAAAAAAATGAAGAAAACCCCGAAACATTTGCAAAAAATATACGGACGAGAGGGGTATCAAGACACATATTTCTAATAACGAGGTTAAATTGGTGTGCATAACAATGTAAAAAATGCGCATGAGGAAAATCATCTTCTTTTATATAAACTTGAACACCATGTTTCGACCCACTCATGACTGCCGCGCCGTCATAAGTTTGAGCTATCAATTTTGACCCTGCGTTGTAAGGCTGTAACACTTCTTTCAGTACAGCCGATATCCCGCAAGCAGTGCGATCAACGATTGGTACAAAGCTGTGAAATCTCTCGGTAGGTTTACCATCTTTCACAAACCGAAAAATCACAGCCAGTTGGGAAACGCACGTGATGTCAGTTGTCTCGTCAGACTGAATCGAAAGAAACTGGCAATTCTCAATTTCCAGAGCCAAATGTTGTAAATAAATTTCATACATTGAGTCGAGCAAATCATTTTGGATATCCTTAGATGTCCCTTTCGAAACAGTTGCGGCATCAAGATGATCTCTCAATACTGTATCTAGGGATGCGGTGTATTCCACCATATCCAAAAATACCCCTCTATTAGAAGAGCCAGCCCGTTCATCGTGCCCACGGAGGGACAGCTCGTGACAACCAATGAACTTCAAAACATCTATCAATCGACCGAGAACATGGCGGTTTTTCTCGAAGTTTTGTTTGTGCCGACGAATAGAAACCGCGCGTCCTTCATCCAACTGTGCTGCAATATTAACATTTCCGAATGTTCGGTATTTTACTGCATTGTCCAGATGCTCCATAGAAGATTGATGATCCCTGGCACGCTCGGAAAGATGTTTAAGATCTCTAAAACCAAATTTACACCAACGTGAGTCACGGGCGGTAGCAAAAGTAGGCAATAAAACAAAAAAGTGCATTTTTGTCCTCGCTGTAACACAACCATTCGTGTTTTTTATACCAAGTTTCTGCGCCAGAATGTACGCCGACGCTTTCCTCCGTCATGGGATTGTTCCAGTGAACATATTTTTGGTTGATAAGGCCCAAGACGTTGTACCTCTAATTTTTGTTCCAGCGGCAGCTGCGAAAACGGAGTGCGAAGTAGTGCATCAACCTTATTCATTATGAGGTCTAAGGCTAAGAAATGCGAAGCCGGAAAGAAGTGAGGAGCTCAAAAGGAATGTGGAAATCAAAAGCAAATGGACTAAGGTCTCTAACTGATTCAAATAGCGAAACAAGCGACAAAAACGAAGGCGAGGAAACTATCAACTCTTCAAGCAACCAACGAACGAGAAGGAATGCGTGAATATGTCAACACGTTGTGTTAAGAAACGTCGGCATTGTGTCGTCATAATTTCGGGGCTAGCCCCGATGATTTAGTAAAAGAAACAGAAAACAAACGAGACAAACGCGGCGAGTGGAAGATAAAAGAGAGAATACGATATACAATGAGCAACCGGGGCAAAATCTTAAACAAACAATCTTAATTAGCTAATAATCATTAGTCGGCAGAGGAATTACATGTTTAGGGATGCCGAAATATTATTTCTGGAAAGTCCGGACCCAAATATTTTTGAAGTTTAATATGCGGACCTTTGGTAAAAATAGTTGAGTAGCCCTGGTCTAGAAAACAAATGAATTGAAACTCAATGAAGTTTTCCAACTTCAGTTTGATTGGGCAGTTTCAATTGCAGAAAAGTG